CAGTTCTCTACCTCCAGGCATGCCTACAATTCAGGCTAGAAGGCACCAGAAGGTATTATCGATGGTTGTGAGGGAACTGAACTCATGACCTCTGAAAGAACAGCCAGTGCTCTTAACCTCTGAGCTATCTCTCCAGCCCCTCTCCCAGTGTACTCTAAGACCTAAGTTATCCCCATGTAACCTGTGATACCTAACAGACAGCATGGGGCATTATTTGGGAAACCATGAAAAAAATAGCTTGTATATGTTCAACACAGCTGCATTTTTAAAAACCCCAAATAATTCTGACCTGTGGTTGGCTGAGTCCACAGATGTGGAACCCACTGAGACTGAAAGCAACCTACACTAGGAGCAGATACAGGTTTGCACAAACGTGGTGTCGATGAGCTTTGTCTGAAACTGCAGTCGAAGTCTGCTCATCTCCTCTTGGGGTCATGCAAAAGAATGTAAAAAGACAGCAGCCAGCTGGCTGAGGATGCCAGCTGAGCCCGGCTTCCTCGAGGGGTAGCTTAGACTAATCCGAACTGGCTGTTTGCTCACTCGCTTCCGAGTGGTGTCCCACACCCGTCGGTGCTAAGGCTATGATGCCATGGCAGAGTGTTATAACATATAGCGACCTCGGTTCCAACGCAGTGCCAGTACGGAAATGACCGCGCTCTCAAAACACCTCCACTTCCTCACTCTCCAGTCCTCCCAGCCCCCGGATAGCTGGCCTAATTCCATAGAACTCTTTGGAAACTTCTCTTGGATGGCTCATAAACATCCTTCCTCTAGTAAAGTCTCTGCTGAGGTCTGTTTTCGTACCGCTTTCCTGTAGGCCACTGTTTCGTTCCAGACTGCTCAAGTTCGTGAACATTTCCTTCTCGGATATGGTCATTTCCTGGCTTTCCTCCAGGCTCCCTGCTGTCTTCCTTCCTTTGAGACTGTGGGCACCCACACACGTGGCACCCTGGGCACCCTCCCACATGGCACCCCCCCATACATCACATAAAAAATAATAAATCTTATCAAAAAGAATTAAATCTTAGTTGATTGTTATTATTTTAGACAGTTTCTGGCTGGGGCTGGCCTCAGATTCCATCTGGAGCAAAGGATGCTCTTGAACTTCTGTTCCTCCTGTTCCCACCTCCTGGCTTGCACTACTACCTCAGCAGGTTCCTTCAGTGTTGGGGACGGAACCCAGGACTTTGTGTCATTCATAATTTCCCCAGAATGGAAGTGGTCCAAATGTTCACCACCTATGGCAAACAAAAGCTGACTGGCACAGGGCTGAGGAGAGCGCTCAGTGGGCAAAGCACCTGATGCTCACATTTGAGGACCCAAGTTCAGATTCCCAGAGGCCGTGTAAAGCTGGCCATATGTTACACGTCTGTAACCGCTGCGCCTGTGTTGGGATGAGAGGCTGAGGCAAGACAGTCCTCGCAAGCCGTCAGCCAGCTTGCCTGTCACACAAAGCAGCAGACGAGAGACCGTGTCTCAAACAAGATGGAAGATGAGGAATGACAGCTGAAGTTGCTCTCCCATCTGGTTGCCCCGGCATGAGCTTTTACATGTGTGGTCTCTCTCCCTTCCTGTACCCACCCCCTCACACACAGAAATAAAAACAAACAAAAAAGTGGTATATCCACTTAGTGGAATACTATTTGGCAATCAAAGTGGATGAAATACTGATATGTAGAACAAGATCATAATCTTGAAAATGTTAAGTAAAAGAAGCCAGTCGTAAAGGTCAATATTGCTACCATCACGTTCACATAAACGGCTCAAGTGGATTGAGACAGTAAGTGGTTGCTTAGGGCTGGAGAAGAGGGTGAGGAAATTGGGACATAATGACCAGGGCATAGGGTTTCTTCCTGGGCTAATGAAGATATTCAAAAGTTAATAGTGGTTAATGATGTCCAACTTCGCTAATATAGCAAAGCCACTGAATTACTCTAAATGGAGATGCTGTATGTGGTATGCAAGTTATTTTTCAGTAAAGTTATTAAAATATGTAAACAGTCTGCATATACCAGCTAAAAAGCAGACCTGGGGGCTGGAGAAATGGCTCAATGGTTAAGAGAAGCTACTGGGTTCAATGGCTAATTGAGGACCTGGGTTCAATTCCCAGCAACCGTGTAGAAACTAACAACAGTCTGTAACTCCAGTCAGGGAATCCAACACCTTCTTCTGGCTTCTGTGTACAGTACACAGGTGGTCCACAGACATACACGTAGACAAAACAACCACACACAAAAAATAAAATATATCTTTTTTTAAAGGTAGACATGTCAAACTAAAACAAACAAAAAAACTCTCAAAACTTCAAGACTCAAAATGCTTCAGTAGGTAGAGCTGCTTGCCACACAAGTCTGGTGACCTCAGCATGACCCACGGAACCCTATGTTTTAGTTTCTGTTCTGCTGTGTGAAGAGACACAATGGCCAAGGCAATTCTTTTTTGTTTTTTAAATTTATTTTATTATTTTATGTGCATTGGTGTGAGGGTCAGATGCCTTGGAACTGGAGTCACAGGCAGTTGTGAGCTGCCATGTGGGTGCTGGGAATTGAACTCAGGACCTCTAGAAGAGCAGCCAGTGCTCTTAACCACTGAGCCATCTCTCCAGCCCCCCAAGGCAATTCTTATAAAATAAAACATTTAATTGGGGTTTGCTGACAGTTTTAGAGGGTTATTAGTCCATGCCCATCATGGCAGGAAGCAGACAGGCATGGCCCTGGAGCAGAGAGCTTTATAGCCTGATCCACGGGCAGCAGGAAGAGTGAGAGGAGAGGAGAAGAGAGAGAGAGAGAGAGAGAGAGAGAGAGGCCAAATTGTCCCAATGCTGGAGATTCACTCCTGTTGGAGATGTGGGTAACACCAGTAATGCCTTGGTCTACAAACTAGTTGTGGAACATTGCCCTTGTGTGGGTCCCTTCCACCCTGTACCACGGTTGGTCCAAGTGATCAGTGAATTGTGGAAAGTGATGGTATGCCCCTTCCAAGACTGGACATTTTACAGTTCTATTCTTCCTTCCCTCTGTCCGTCCCTCTGCCCTCTTACTCTAAGGGAAGCAGCAGGCCAGCTCCATGCTATGAGCAGTGCTAGAGAGACCTATGCAGTAAGGAACTGAGGCTGTCTGTCCACCGCAGAGTGAGGCTGGAGTGGATCATTCAATCCCAACAAGCCTGTAGGCAAGGGTGGCCATCTGATGGAAACTTCACAATGATCCAGAACCAGGACTACCTAACCAAGGCTTCTCAGGTTTCTTACCCCGCCCACCAGTGTGGAGGCTAGGAGAGGGCATCAGATCCTCTGAAAGTGGAGTTACAGGCAGTTGCCAGCTGCTTGACATGGGTGCTGAGAACTCAACAGAACCCATGTGTAACCACTGGGCTATCTCTTCAGCCCCTACGTTTTTATGAGGTAGGTTCTCAGGTAGCCCAGCCTGGCCTTGAACTCTATAAGTAACTGAAGCTGATCTTGGATTTCTGATCCTCCCACCTTCATAGTCCAAGGGTTGGTTTTGTGCATGTGTACCACTGCACCCAGATAATATCACTCTTCTCAATAGTCCACAAGTAAAAGAGAAAAATAATAAAGTTGGAAAACATTTTGAGCCAAATATTAATGAAAATAAAATATAATCTGTGGGATGCCTCTAGAGCAACCCTCAGTGTGAAAGTGTAGTTCTTAAGGCGTTGTTAGAAAAGAACAAAGGTCTCCATTAATAATCTAAAAATCTATTTTAAGAAACAAGTCAGGCTAGGCTGGAGAAATGGCTCAGAGGTTAAGAGCACTGGCTGCTCTTCCAGAGATCCCAAGCTTGAACCCCAGTAACCACCTGGTGACTGACAACCATTTATAATGGAATCTGGTGCCCTCTTCTGGCGTGCAGGCACAACACTGTGTGTATAATAAATAAATAAATAAATAAATAAATAAATAAATATCTAAAAAAGAAAGGAAAGAAGAAAAGAAACTAGGTGGGCATGATGGCACACACCTTTAATCCCAGGACTTGGGAGGCAGAGGCAGGTGGTGGATCTTTTAAATTTGAGGCCAGCCTGGTGTACAGAGTGAGTTCTGGGACAGCCAGGACTACATAGAGAAACCCTATCTTGAAAAACCAAAAGAAAAGAAAAAGAAAAAGAAACTAGAAGAGCCAGGGAGTTGGTACATAGCTGTAATTATAACTAACTTCTGAGAGTTCAAAAGACAAAGACAATAAAAAGCAGAGAATATCAATACAGCCCAAAATGATAAATTTTCCTAGATGAGGTGGATTACACTCCTGATTCCCAGCTATTGAGAGGCTAAGGCAAGATTATGAATTCAAGACCAGTTTGGGTTGTCCAAGCAAGATCCTTTCTGAAGAAAAAAGGTTCAGGGAGAGATGACTCAGCCAGCAAAGATCTTTAGAAACTTCCGAGCATCACATCTGTCAAAGGACTACTGTGCTTTGTTAATTATCTTTTAATTGTATAGACAACATAATTGGCTTTATATTTACCCATTAAAGGACCTTTGCGTGTTCCCAGTTAGGGGTAGGGCTTTTGAATAATGTTGTTATTTACAATTATGTATGAGTTCTTATGCACGCACAAGTTTTAATTTGTCTTGAGTACATTCCCAGGGTTTAATGGATCACATGGCAAGTGAATATTTATAAGAAATTATCCAATTCCTTTTCCAAAATGGCTATCCCATTCTGTACTGTCAAATATAAGCAAAGGCAGCAAAGCGCTGTAGCTCTGTATCCTCACCAGCTTTGGTGTCAACAATACACACGTTTTCAACCAAACACACAATATACAACATTTTAAACTGGGCGTTTAAATATCTCAAGTGCTGGAATTACGGATGAGTCATCACGCCGGGCTGTGGGAGGATAGTCAGTAACTGAGGACGAGAAAGGTTAAATGACCCAATTCATCACAAAATTAGGATTCGTTCACAGATACAGTCTAAGCTCCTTTGAACCCAGGGGCATTTAGGCTCATTCTCCCACCGTCAGCCTGGCTGCTGAGACAGAATACTTTAAACACATTACGTTTTCACTTGTCTCGATCTGCTTATTGCTAAAGTATGCGCTAATTGCAGACCCGGAACTGAGCCGTAGGATAAAAATCCGGAAGCGACAAACCCGCTTGCAAACTAGCAAATTGCCAGTTTCTTCCCAGCTCTATGGTTCGAGTGTGACCTTTCTATACTCTGGAGGACTCAGAAAGCGTGACCAATGAGCCGATCGCTCTTGCGAACGTGACAAGAGAACTGGCTTCCTATTGGTCGGTATCGAAAAAGCCCGCCCAACAGCTTCCGGAAGCCTTCTTTAAGTTAAGGTCTCGCGACCATTTCTGCCTCTTAGCGACGGGCAGACCAGCGAGGTAAGGTATACTTTGCGTGAGTTGCGAGGCAGCACCGTTCGTGGGTGGGCGGCCGGCGGTGATTACACTCCATACAAATCACGCGTTAGACTGCTGATCCGGGTGATGCGAATCCGAGTCTGAGCCGACTGCAGCGGCAGCGGGATGTGGCGGACTCTGCAAACTTCCACCTTCTAATCCTTCGCTTCTCTTTCAGCGCTGCCCAGTGAACGACAGCAGACAGCATGGAGCTCCAGCCTTTCCTCCCCAAGCCTCAGAATAAAGTGCTTTGACTCCAACGCTGGTGTCCGTGTGTCACTGCCCCGTTCCCCTACGCGCTGCCTTTGAGCTCCCGGCGCTCCTCCACGTGGCGCCGGGGGTTAAGCTGCGGCGCCATATCATATTGCTAGCGCATAACTGGGGCCGCCTGCCCATCGCGGACGGTCCTTTTAACTGCTAGCTACAGATCGAATCTAGCCTACCACAGGCCTTTTGCGAGTTGTGATAAGGCAGTTCGCGGGCGGTATACACATCGTGGCCTAGGCTTTGGCCCAAGTACGGACTCAGTGATAATTGAGATAGTCCGGCCTAGGGTAAAGTGGAATGACGAGAGGGAAGATCAGGTTAGACCTGGAGGTATACAATCATTTGTTGTATACATGTCTTGAGGTGACTGAAATCAGGGGGAGGATGCGGGGACGCAAAGTAATTAGGTGAGGCCTTCTGGGGAAGACGGGGCCACTAGAGATAAGTGTTTGACTAGCAAATATACCAGTATACTGCGGGTACTCCGGTACCTGGGCTGGTAAAACCAACGTGTATGCACTAATCGGAGAAAACTGTCGTTTGAATAACCGAGGACACTCAACTTGGGGTGGTGCCGAGAATTTATGGTCCCGACATTAATAAGGATATAACATTCTATCAAAGCTGATTAGTTGTGTATTTTCACAAGCAAAGCCCTGAACCTTTAGGTAAATTGTCATTGTAGTTTACTAGTAAGCAATTACAGTCAGGGAGATGTGTTGGCGTCGGTGACTAAATGAAAAGCACATGTCAGCCGAAGAATCTTCACAACTAAAAAGAGTGACCGAGAACTGAGTAAGCCCCAGTTAGGGATCACCAAAGTCCCAGGTCCCGGGGTCGGTCAGCACAGTGCTAATGGGAACTGAGAGAGTAAGGCTGTACTTGCATCTTGCTCGGTGAGACCAGTCGTAGAAAGCCGGTCCCAGGTCAGTTTTTCTAGAAAACAAGATTAGTCGCTCTTTTGTACCCCCTTAATCCTCCCACAAGAATATGCTGATAATTCAGTTGCATTCCCACTTCAATATTAGCTGGGGGCTAGGAAGTGTGATTAAGACTAGCCTGAGGGTCCAAGTGCTCCCTTTCCCTTCATGGGCTTTTCCAGAAATAACAGATACTTAGCTGGTGTTTGACATGAGATAATTTATTTTGTGAAATTGCGATTGTAAGTCCCCATATACTAGTAAGTGCGACAGGATACAGTCGTGTAGTGTTTCTATCTAGTCTCACCTTCAGTAACTACTGCACAGGAAAAACTGAACAAGACACGTGGACTCTACAGGTGAATTGGCCTACACAATGAGAATAATTAGGGCAGTACAGACTGGAATGGTCAAATTTGTCATGTTTTAATGGGATGATTAAAATAATCAAAGGTTCAAATACATTTTAATATATTAATTTCTTTTTAAAGTCATCTTCAAGCAAGGTGCTGTTTAAAAAAAAAAACACTATTAGCTTTGTCCACAGACATTAAATTATCAAAAGTTACCCAAGGTAATTTTGACATTGGATGCAGCTTTAAACAAACAAAATTGTATTGGGTTTTTTCAAAGCAAATTATACAATTAGAGCCCCCAAATTTGTAAACTAAACATTCTGACACAAATGCACAAACTTAAGTTGGCAACATTAAAAAAAGTCACAGTGCACGTGGAGATGTAGTGCTTGACTAGAAAGGAAAGAACAGTCCTCCTTTGGCCTTCAGAGAAGGGGACTGCCCACAAACCTCCCAAACCAGTTAGATGAATAAGGCCCTCCCATCCTACATGAGGCGTCTAGGAGCACGCAGAAAAACCAGAAAAGGACAGCTTGGCTCTGGCTTTCTGGCCCATCCTATCAGTACCAGGGAGGAACAATCAGTCACTGTGCAGTGTTTGACATTGTCACATATGCTCATGTCTCTAGAAAATAATCAGGATTGGTTAGAAGCAAGGTGATTGTACCTCATTTGGGATGGTTTGATGTCATGGCTTTGCCTGATGTTCACATGGAACCCACTGTCCCCACCCCAGCTGAAAGTGTTTGTTTGTGGGTGTGTATGTTCTATGGCTAGTTGCTTCCAAAAAGCACAATTTAATATTGAAAAAAAGTTGCTATGCCAAACTTTACCACCGATGAAATGGCTCACAAAACCACACTCCACACAGGTTACCACAATGACATTCTCAAGTGTGGAGGGCTGCAATCATGCGTACAAAGTGTAGAGTGGAAAAATGTTCCATTGTGCACCAGCTGCCTGAGGAAAAGCTCTGGAGGAGACAAGAGGCAGGGGAGCCCTCCAGTTGTCAGCTTTGCTCCGAATGTGCTCATTTGCTGCCACAAAACCTGGTAGGCTTTAAAAAGAAAAAGCAAGCCACGGTGTTAGTCAACTGTAACTTCTGGCTCCACCAAAACGTTCTTCCAGTCTCCTTTGCCAGTTACAGCTTTGCAACAGACAAACCAGACACTGGTCACTGGATGCAGGGAATGGCACCTCACAGTGGAATGGGCACCGCAGGCAGAGGGCAGAAGCAGTCCTTTAAGAGACAGTGGCTGTGGACCAGCAAAGGCCAGCCCCACAGCACAGATGGCAGCCACAAATCTCACCCCTCGAGCTAGGTCTCATAATACTGAGAATGTCCCATTTTCACTCATCACAGCTGGTCGGAGGCCTCCACAGGGGGGTCTTTCATGAAGCAGGAAGTGGAGCGAGGGTCCATGGCCGAGTGCATTATTGGGATATAAACATCATCCATGTTTGGCATGACAAAAACTTTCTGTAGGGAGATATTAAAGAACAGTTCCATGTCAGGAGATCGCCTTCCTTTCATATAGGAAATACTTTCCTATACATTCCAAACAAGTTCTACCATGCTATCTACTATGTATGTGTCTTCAATTTCATCCAACCTTATTTTTTGAGACAAAAGTCTTAAACTGAACTTAAGAGCTGATCAATGTGATCAGACTGGCTGGCTGGAGAGTCTACCAGCCCTGGGATTTATATAGATGCTGGAGATTTTAACTCAGACCCTCAGGCTTGAGCAGCAAGTTTACTAAATGGTCGGCTCCTCCATACTTGAACTCAGAAAGAGTCAAAGAGCCACACTAAAGCACAAATACAGAAAGAACCTGGTGTGTCTGCTTTGATGCACGAGCCCTCAGTTTCATATGCATACATTAACTACGCAAGAAACATTCAACAGGGGGCTGGAGAGATGGCTCAGCGGTTAAGAGCATTGCCTGCTCTTCCAAAGGTCCTGAGTTCAATTCCCAGCAACCACATGGTGGCTCACAGCCATCTGTAATGAGGTCTGGTGCCCTCTTCTGACATGCAGACAGAATATTGTGTAAATAATAAATATTAAAAAAGAGAGAAAAAATAACCTCTGCACAAATATAGGCTGAGTTTTCCACATCAAAACCATGTAGAGCTACATATGAAAAGAGATCCTAATATGATTGTTCTTTGCACATTGTTTATAACTGTGTGAGTGGATTCTGATGATGTATTTGATCTTCAGCAATATTCTTAGAGAAACAAGAAAGCACACGGCACTACAGCAGGGGCAACTGTTAGCCTTCAGTTTTCTAATCTGTCTCCAGTACCAGGCACCAATCTCTTTCCTTCCTTTGCTCCGTGGAGCCCAAGGCCCCCCAAAAGGGTGATCCACTCAAATGATAATGGGGTCCAGGGATGTAAGAAAAATGAAAAATCTGAAGGCATGAGGTTTAACCCCTAACTAGTTTTAAAGCGTTTTTTTATCTGGTGTAAATAGTAGGCTTTTTAATCAGAAACTGGTCATTAATAGCTTTTAAACAGTAATAATTTGTTGGTTTTTTGTTTGTTTGTTTGTTTTTTGAGACAAGCTTTCTCTGTGTAACAGTTCTGACTGTCCTGGAACTCACTCTGAGGAACAGGCTGGCCTTGAACCCACAGAGATCTGCCTGCCTCTGCCTCTGCCTCCTGCATGCTGGGATTAAAGGTGTGCACCATTACCACATGACAGCAGTAATAGTTTTTAAAAAGACTTAAGAACTCAAGGGCGAGTAGGATGGTTAAGGAGGTACAAGGGCTTGCTGTCCAAGTCTGATGACCTGAATTTAACAACTGACACCCACGTGGTGGGAAGAGAGCTGACTGCAGGGACTTAGGGAGACACCTCCCTCACTCAGTGAAGTGCTTTCCCTGCAGCATAAGGACCTGAGTCTGGTCACCAGAACCTAAGCAGGAGCTGGGCAGTCCCAGCGCTGGGAAACAGAGAGAGATCCCTGGGTCTCCTTAGCCGCTAGTCCACCTGTCCAGTTCCAGACCAGTGCAAGACCCTGTTTCAAAATACAAGGTGGGCAGTGCTTGAGGAATGACAGCTAAGGCTGACCTCTGGCCTCCACAGGAACAAACATCCACCTGTAGACATGCAGTCACACACACACACACACACACACACACACACACACACACACACACACCCCAATAGAAAATCATGGAAGTATTCTTCAAAGGGAGAAACCATGACTCAGTAAATAAACCATTTGCTAACCCATAAACTTTGGGGTACTTTGTTTTTCTTAAATATTTGAGATGGTCTCTTGAGGTTGTCCTGGAACTTACTCTGTAGACCATGTTAGCCTCGAGCTCACAGACATCTACCTGCCTTTGCCTCCAAGTGTTGAACTAAAAGCATGTCCCAGCATGCCTGGTTTGTGTAAAACTTTATGACAGTCATGCTTCAAATATTTGATCAAGTGGCTGGGGTAGGGTAGGATGAGGCAGGGTGGTTCAGTGGCAGACTGCTTGCTTAGCATGTGCAAGGCCCTAGGTTTGATCCCCAGCACCACAACAAAGTAAAACAAAACAAAAATCTAATCAAAATCAGATAGAAATAGCTCATTCTCAAGGCCTCAGCTATGCTGTTACTTCCTTTGGTGGCAGAATGAAGGAGGCAAGTTTGGAGGGTGAGCTCTGGCTTAGGAGTTACTTAGGGGAGGCATTGATTTTGGACTCCCAAGACAATTGTCTCTGGCATCCAAGTTTTCTTGAAAGTTACCTGAATAAAGTAAGGCAAATACAACAGAGAGGCAGGGAGCATCTTTCCTGGCCCCTAACTGGATGTCTGCTAACCAGCCTGCTCCTGACTTCACATGGGGCAAAGCCAAAGTCTGGAGAGTCTGTGCAGGCTCAC